GTGGCTCAGTGGTAGAGCGCATGCCTTGCATGACTGAGGCCCTGGGTTCGATTCCTCAGCACCACATAAGCAAAAAAGAAAAAAGCCGGAAGTGGAACTGTGGCTCAAGTGGTAGAGCGCTAGCCTTGAGCTGAAGAGCTGAGGGACAGTGCCCAGGCCCAGAGTTCAGGTCCCATGACCGCCCCCCCCCCCCCCAAAAAAGAAGGATTACATGTTCCAGGCTAAAACCTGGGCAAAAGCTAGCAGTCTTAGCTATTTGGGAGGCAGAGGGAGGAAGATCATGGTCTGAGGCTAGCATAGGCAAAAACAAGACACCCCATCTGAAAAGCAAACCAAAAAGCAAAAGAATTTGAGCCATGGCTCAAGTAATAGGGCACTTACCCAGCAATTGGGAAGTACTGAGTTAAATATATAGTATCACCAAAAATTATTTTCTTGTGAAGAAGACTGTGCTTTCTAGCTTGTAATTCAACTGTTATGTAGTTCTAGCTTGTAATTCAACTGTTATGTAGTGTCTATGTGAAAACAGCTTTTAACTTGCAAATATTATTAATTAGGTATTGTTATTTAATAAGTCAGGACTTAAGGATACAAGGACAATGTCTATATTGTATCTGTATCTTATTCCTTCATACTACTAGTACTACTATTTTCTATGGAAAAAAGATTTTCAAGTATGTTTAATAATTTGTATACAAACAATTATCACCATTTTAATATTTTCTTAGAAAATGAAGGCTCAGAATTTGTACAAGGTCATTCAATTATTAAGAGACAAGGCTAGGATTGAAATCTAGGTGATATCATGTATCACCATATCATAGTACCCCTGAGAATCTGACATGTGTAAAGCACAATGTCAATGCTGAGCAGGTGGTCAGATTCCTTTTAGTTTTGGTCTCTAAGCATACATACTATGTGCTAGCATGTACTAGTACCTAAAACACTGGACCAGAGAGGGCCATCATTCATTTCCTATCTATACACTGAAACTAACATGCTAAAATTAATTTTTGGATAGGTCAATTAAGATAAATTGTCAGATGCCCATAGCTCATGTTTGTAATTCTGGCTCCTCAGGAAGCTGAGATCTGAGAATCTTGGTTCAAAGTCAACTCTAGCAGTACAGTCCATGAGACTCTCATCTCCAATTTAACCACCAAAAAGCTGGAAGTAGAGCTGTGGTTCAAATGGTAGAGTGCCAGTCCTGAGAGAAAACGCTAAGGGACAGTGCCTAGGACTCTACTTCAAGCCCCAATACTGGTACACACACACAAAAAATTGTTTTTTGGGGGCTGGGAATGTGGCTTAGTGGTAGAGTGCTTGCCTAGTATACATGAAGTCCTGGGTTTGATTCCTCAGCACCATGTAAGAAAAAAGAAAAAAGCCGGAAGTGGCGCTGTGGCTCAAGTGGTAGAGCGCTAGCCTTGAGCTGAAGAGCTGAGGGACAGTGCCTAGGCCCAGAGTTCAGGCCTCACGACCGGACCAAAAAAAAAAAAAAAAGAACTGTTTTCTGCAGGATGTCAAGTGATCACTTACTTTTTAGTACAAGAATATGAAACATGGGGGAGGGGGGGGGACTGGGAAGGTGGCTCAGTGGTAGAGCGCTTGCCTTGCATGCCTGAGGCCCTGGGTTCAATTCCTCAGCACCACATAAGAAAAAAGCCAGAAGTGGCGCTGCGGCTCAAGTGGTAGAGCGCTAGCCCTGAGCTGAAGAGCTGAGGGACAGTGCCCAGGCCCAGAGTTCAGGCCCCACGACCGGACCCCCCAAAAAAAAGAAAAAAAAAAAAGAATATGAAACATGGGAACCCTGCTTACCACATGTACTTTATCAGACACTGTTCTAAGAGCTACTGGTGTGGCTCGGGTAGAGAGCTTATCTAGAATATCTGAATCTCTGAGTTTGATCTCCAGCATCACACAAACAAACAAACAAACAAAAACAAACAAACAAGAAAACAAGTGCCAACTGTAACCAAATGTTTACAGCTGATGTAAGAAATGCAAAATTGAGAGGAAATTTTTACTAAGATTAGTAAAATAATTGAGATATTCAACAGTATTAGGAAAGCGTAATGCAAACCTTTATGCTTAGAATACCATTTCAAGATATAAATTTCACTACTTTTAGCAAAATTCTTCCTTTCAGCATCCTTACCAGTTTTTAAACCATAATGAGGGGTGTCACGATTAAGAAAGGGGCTGGGAAGGTGGCTCAGTGGTAGAGCGCTTGCCTTGCATGCATGAGGCCTTGGATTTGATGCCCCAGCACCACATAAGCAAAAAGAAAAAAACCAGTGAAGTGGCGCTGTGGCTCAAGTGGTAGAGTGCTAGCCCTGAGCTGAAGAGCTGAGGGACAGCACCCAGGCCCAGAGTTCAGGCCCCACGACCGGACCCAAAAAAAAAAAAAGAAATATGAACAGAAATATTGTATTTGTTATAGCATTAAATTTCTATTGCCAATTTAAGGTCTACTTGGTAATGAGATGTGATGACCAAAATGCTCTGATTTCACTTGTCCATTGAGAGCCAATTCCTTTTTTTTTTTTTTTTTTTTTTTGGGGGGGGTCTGGTTGTGGGGCCTGAACTCTGGGCCTGGGCGCTATCCCTCAGCTCTTTGGCTCAAGGCTAGCGCTCTAACACTTGAGCCACAGCACCACTTCTGGCTTTTTTCTTTTTGCTTACGTGGTGCTGAGGAATCGAACCCAGGGCCTATGCATGCAAGGCAAGCACTCTACCACTGAGCCACCTTCCCAGCCCATACAGAGCCAATTCTTTCATAACAGTGCATTAAAGGAATAAACAAGTTGATTTTTCTCTGGGTGTGGTAGCAAATACCTGTACCATTCAAGGCTAAAGAAGGGTCTGAGAATTTAATAACACTTGGGCTAAATACTGAGATTGTCTCAAAAAACCAAGACAATATAAGTAAAATGTTAAAAACTGTCAAATGATTTCACCATTTGGCAAGGACTATATCTTAAATGGCTGCTTACTAACTAGAAAGACTCCTCAATATTTAACATCTATCATAGATAGAGCACAAAAGACCAATTCCTAAAACTTAGGTCTGAATCAAAATTGAAAAACAAAAATAAGCAAAAGGAGCTGGGCACAGGTGGTTCATGCATATGATCCTACCTAGCTACTCAGGAGGCTGAGATCTGAGGATTGTGGTTCGAAGCCAGCCCTGGCAGAAAAGTCCCTCTTATCTCCAATTAACCACTCAAGAACAAGAAAGTGGTGCTGTGGCTCAAAGTGGCAGAGTGCTGGCCTTAAGCAAAAGAAAGCAGGGACAGTGCCAAGGCCCTGAGTTCAAGCCTGACTACCAACCTCCCCCTCCCCCCAAAAAGAGCAAAAGGGACACATAAAAAGGCTAAAAAGACAGTAAACTATTAAAGCCAAGTTATTATGTTATAGAGATGCTGCTGTTCAGTTGGATTTTAGTCCAGAATATAAAAATCTGGAGGAGAAATGCTGGTGATTTAAAGGGAGTGAAGGTTCTAAATCTGCTGCCTCATTCCTTCATCTGCAGAAGCTTCCTCTAATACTATGTCTACACAAATGGCCATGACCACCCTGGAAAATCCAATAGAGTACTGAAGCTCTTAGACAGGTGGCAATCCATTGTTTGGAAAAAATGAAAAGCAAAAATGTAGAGAATATATTGAAGGGTAGGATCAGGAATATTGTTCTTTACAATGATCAACCCAAGATTCTGCCAAAGGAGGCAATGAAATATTTTTAAACCTCTAAAAATCCCTCCTTTGACAAATCCCTTTTTTTTTTCCTTCAAAGGCTCAGTTCCTTTAAGAACCACCACCTGCCAGGGGTGCATACTTTTCCTCCAGAAGGCATCTGCACTGCAGCTCTGCACAAGGAGCTTGCCAGTCAGCTCCCACCAGCAGGCAGACGCATATACAATAGAAACTAAAGGAGGCCCAAGCTTCCCCCCTAGCTTTTCAGAAATCGAAGGGGCTCAACCAGCCTTTGGCTTTGTCTGAATTTTTCTCCCCTCTCCCCCTCCCACCCCGCTTCTGCAGTAAACACCCTCTTTTGTTATATATCAATACCAGCACATAGAAAATATGAAATCAAAACATGTGGATGGCTTGGCATGATTCTCTTTATTATCTTCTAGAATATAAGCAATGCGTGTCCCCAGCCCCCACGCTGCGCCAAGGAAGAGCCGGCTGTGGTGCAGATACAGCCAAGGATCCATCTTGGACCATCAGCAGCTCCCTCCTAAACCTTCCTGAGCTATTCTCATCACGCCTCCTCTACCTCAAAACCTTACCGCTCCCCCCTCCCTCGCAAAAAAAAACACCCAAAACCCAAGCCGAGTCTAGCCGAAAATAGTAAAGAAATAGGCTTCCATTAAACTTCCTCATCCTCCCCACAGGCAAACAAAAAACCATTTTTTTTTTTGAGGATCATCAGGCCTGTCTAGTTATGTCAATACCTGTTTGCAAACCCGCAATGCAACCCTTTCACCACCAATCCCCCCAAAATCGTAACGAGTCATTTTTTTCTCTCTCCCCCACCACGACCCACCTGTCACAATCCTCTCAACCTCGCTAATCCTCCACTACTAAATCACCCCCCCTCCACCCAGGGCTCCCGAGCCTCCCCCGAACACGATCCCGTCTCCAGGCGTCGAGCAAATTCTCCATTTCACCCGGCTCTCCCCCCGAGCGGCTGTTCCCCCACCTGCCGGGGCTCGGCGTCAACGCCCACTCTCTCCATTACCTCCCCGCCCCCAACCTGTTTTGTTAACACCCCGTTATTTCCTCACCGCCTGCAAGACCTTGCGCTTCCCCACCCCCATTTTTTCCCTAACGTCGGTTTCCCGCTCCCCCCCGCCCCCGCCCCGGGGCTGAAGCCACCCGGCCGGCCGGGGGAATTCGCTGCCCCCCCCCGGCCCGCCCAGACCCCGGGCCCACCGACCCGCTCACCCTCCCACCGCGGTGAAAGGGGGAGGGGATCCCCACGCGCCTCACCCGCACAGAAGGAGCCGCAGCTCTTGGTCCCTAGGGTGGGGCAGGTTCCCGAGCTCCCGCTGCCGCCGCCGGGCGCGGACGGCTCGGCCCCGGAGGACGACGAGGAGACTGACGGGGATTGAGTGGCCGCCGACGAGTCCGCCATGGCTGCTCGAGCAAAAGCGGGAGAAGGGTGAAGAGAGATGTGGGGCGGGAGAGAGGGAGGGAAGATAGAACAATCGGGTCGCTGGCTTTCCGTAGCACCTTCAAGTGCCTACTCCGAGGACAGACTCCCGCAGACTGACTGACTGAGCTGAGCACGGCGACTGGGACGGAGCATGAGTGCGCATGCGCACAAGGAGCCTTCGGGCGCGCGGCAGGGGCGGGCGGCGGCCGCGGGGGCGCGCAATAACGCACTGCGCAGACGCAAGAACTGTCCCTGCGCTTCTGTGGGGAGGGAGGGGCAAGGCCAGTCTCTGGCGGCCCGGGTGGGGCGCGCCCCAGGGGGGTGGGGGGGGGGAGGAAACCTGACGTAAGGGGCGTGGCTACGCGCCAAAAAACCGCGCACCACTGCAGCCGAAAGCCAGGCGCTGCGGGTAGAATTCTCTTCATAGATCGCGATGTGAATGTTTTCTTGTTGGCATAATTCGTATTTTAACAATGGAAGTTTCTTTGTGCTTCCATTAGCTGGAAACGCTCTTTACTTTTGTCGGATGCGTGTGCCCCCTTGCCTGTAAAAGTGAAAACCCCGTTGGAGACTAGGCCCCAGGTGCGTTCAGAACTGATCTGGATGTGTCGTAATATCGGCTCACCGCGAGGCAGAGGTGGCACCAGCCCGAGTTTGGGAGGTGGAGAATGATGTTATACAGAATGAAAAGCTATTACTCATTCCGAGCACACCGCAATGCAGTCACACAGTGGCCTCACATTTTTATCTCGCTACTGTTCCCAAAGAAGGGGTCCACCTTGGGTGGTCAGGTTAGCTTTTCCTTCCAATAAGCTCTGAGATAGAGAAGACTTACCTCGAAGGGAGGGGAAAAATGCTGAGTTAATAAGGAAAGAAAAGCCTGGAGGTAAGAATATCCTGGTTATTATTCTTGGGGTGATGAAATATTAAAAAAACTTTCAGAACAAGGCACAAATACACATTATTGAATTTTATTCATTAGCAGGAAATGTATTTAAAACTAAATTTAGCTCATATTGAGTTGTTTTGTTTGTTTTTTTCTTTTGAGTTAGCTTGCCAAAGTCAGAGCCTCCCTGCAACCGGTTAAAATATCTGAAAGGTGCATAATCCTGTTATTGTTTATTTTTAAGGGGATGTGTTTTAGAAATAATAAAAATCAAGGCTTTTGGCTTTGTTATTGTTAATACAGCAATGGATGACTCAAAGTGCAGTTGTGGTTTCAGCAAATCCTACAAAGATGCAGCCTCAGGATGGGGGAGGTAGTCAGCCAGGCTGCTGCAGAGAGGAAAAGTGATCTGATCAGTGGAAATCTTCTACAACTACATCTGCCCTTGACAGTTTTTAAGGTCAAGTGAAGCCCAAACAACATCCTGGCATTGCATTGCTCTCCAAAAGGCACTGGATATTTCCCAAAATAACTCCATGGCAAATATCTTATCTTGGCACTTAAAGCATGAGTAGATAATGCAGCAAACTGTCCCTTAGATGGCAAAAGAAAATATAAGCCAGTATTATAACCAAGTCAATTATCTCTGTGTTCTGATGTGAGTTTGCTTTTTTAAAAAAAATCTGTTATTAAGTGCTGGATCAGGAAATAAGTAATGCTGGTACTTAAAACTAACAGCCCTTTTTAAAAACTGAAGACCCCTTGATTAAGCACCAGTGGCTTAGGACTGTCATCCTAGCTATTGAGAAGACTGAGATCAAGGATTGTGCTTTGAAGCCAATCCAGGCAGAGAAGTCTGTGAAACTTTTATCTCCAATTAGCCACACAGAAGCCAGAAGTGGAGCTGTAGCTTAAGTGGTAGAGCACTATCCTTGAACACAAAAGCTCAGGGATAGCACCTGGGCCATGAATTCAAGCCCCGTTACCAACACACACACACACACAGAAAATCTGTAGACCCCACTGGAAAGAAAGCCCATTTCTGTGACACCCAGAAACAGAAAAGCCAAAAAATCAAGAGGCATTGTTGGTCCTGGCGATCCCTTCAGACCAAAATACATACATGTCACATGTGTCTATTTCTAATGTATGTCATTTGCTTTTATTTATATATTTAAATTATATGTGTGTGTATACACACATCTCTAGCCTTTGTACTAGATCTAATTCTTGAAGCTGTTTATCTTCATGCTTCCCTTACTAGCTGTATCTGTCAGCTTCCCTGAGATTAATTTTTCCTTGGGAATGTTTGTGTGTGTATACATATGACTTGTTTGGTAATTGTTTCTTGGTCACTAGTTGTGTGTATGACACTATTCTGGGAACTTTGGAGGAACCCCAATTATACTATAATGTTTATTCTATCTTCAATGAGCTTACAAACTAGCTTGGGTATAACCACAGGGGGGGAAAAACAAGTTAAGTATGGGGAGGTTTTAAGAAGAAGCTCTGAGTAGAATAGAAATGAGGGATAAGGTTGTTAAAGGTAAAGAAGCATGATGGTTTTAAGCAAATGAGGGGGTTGCTTTGTGTATATGCATGCCTGCGTGTGCACCAGTATTGGGGCTTGAACTCAGTGCTTGGACCCTATCCTTTAAAATTTTCATTCAAGGCTGAAATTCTAACATTTGAGCTATAGCTTTACTTTTGACTTTTGGCTGGATAATTGGAGGTAAGTCTCATGTACCTTACTGCCTATGCTGGTCTGTAACCAGGATCCTCAGATCTCAGCCTCCAGAGTAGCTAGGATTATAGGCATAAAACACCAGCTTCTAGGTTGTAGACTCTTCTCTCTCCCCCTCAGGCTGGCCTGTAACTAAGATCCTCCCAATTTCAGTCTCCTACGTAGCTGGGATGACAAAGAAATACCATCATACTCACCTATTGGTTGAACTTTTTGCCTGGGCTGGCCAAAAACCATGATTCTCCCAATTTCACTCTCCTAAGTAGCTAAGATTATGAGTGTGCCCCAATATCCTGGGGTATACTATATTTTCCTTGTCTGCTCATTAATTGATGGACTTCTTGGTTAAATCCTTCCTTACCTTAGCTCTTGTGAACAAAAGTGAAAGAGACATGGGAAGCCAGATAGAATAGTTCACACCTGCAACCTCAGCACCTGGGAGGCTGAGGCAGGAGGATCTTGAGTGTGACACTAGCCTGGGCTGAATAGAAAGTTTGAAGCCAGGGGCTGGGAAGGTGGCTCAGTGGTAGAATGTTGCCTTGCATGCATGAGGCCCTGGGTTCGATTCCTCAGCACCACATAAGCAAAAAGAAAAAAGCCGGAAGTGGCGCTGTGGCTCAAGTGGTAGAGCGCTAGCCTTGAGCTGAAGAGCTGAGGGACAGCACCCAGGCCCAGAGTTCACACCCCAAGACCAGACCAAAAAATAATAAAATAATAATAATAACAACAAGCACAAACCATAGAAATGCAGCTGTCTTAGATTTTGCATCCTTTCGATATATAGCCAATAGTAAGATAGCTAGATCATAATACAGTTCTGTTTTCAGTTTTTGTTGTTGTTGTTATTGTTTAGGTAGGTTATGGGGCTTGAACTCTGGGCCTGTCCCTCAGCTCTTCAGTTCAAGGCAAGTGTTCTACCACTTGAGTCACAGCACCACTTCCAGTTTTCTGGTGGTTTATTGAAGATAAGAGTCTCACGGTCAGTCGCCAGTGGCTCACACCTGTAATCCTAGCTACTCAGGAGACTGAGATCTGAGAATCGCGGTTCAAAGCCAGCCCGGGCAGGAAAGTCCATGAGACCCTTATCTCCAATAAACTACCAGAAAGCCATAAGTAGCACTGTAGCTCAAGTGGTAGAGTACTCGCCTTGAGCTAAAGAGCTGAGGGACAGCGTTCAGGCCCGGAGTTCAAGACCCACAACCAACAACAACAACAAAAAAAGAGTCTCACTGACTTCCTGACCAGGCTGGCTTTGAACGGTGATCCTCAGATCTCAGCCTCCTGAGTAGTTGGATTACAGGTGTGAGCCACAGGTGCCAGGCAGTTTTTTTTTTTAAGGAATTTCCATATTTTCCATAATGGCTGTACGGATTTGCATTCCTTTTTTTTTTTTTTCTGTCAGTCCTGAGGCTTGAACTCAGAACCTGAGCCCTATCCCTGAGCTGCAGCTTCTTCTTTTTTTTTTTTTTTGTTGGTCCTGGGGCTTGAATTCTGGGCTTGGGCGCTGTCCTTGTGCTCTTCAGCTCAAGGCGAGCACTCTACCGCTTTGGGCTATAGTGCCACTTCCGGTTTTCTGGTGGTTAATTAGAGATAAGAGTCTCTTGGACTTTTCTGCTGGGGCTGGCTTTGAACCGTGATCCTCAGATCTCAGCCTCCTGGGTAGCTAGGATTACAGGTGTGAGCCACCAACGCCCTGCCCCTGAGCTTCTTTTGCTCAAGGCTAACACTCTACTACTTGAGCCACAGCACCACTTCTGGCTTTTTTTCTGTTTATATGATACTGAGAAATTGAACCAAGGGCTTCATGCAGGCTAGGCAAGCACTCTACCACTAAGCAACATTCCCAGCCCTCATTGTGGTTTTGATTTATATTTTCCTGATATTTGGTGATTACGTATTCCTTCTTTTCTTGTAGTAATCTCATTTAGGTCTTTGATCTATTCTGCATTGATTTCCATGTATGATGAGCAGAAGTGATCTAGTTTCGTTCTTCTTCCTATGTATATGTATATCCTCACCATTTGTTGAAGAGACTGCCTTTCCCCTATGTGTGCTCACCTGACATCTTTTTCTTTTCATTTTTTTGTAAATTTTTTATTGTGAAAATACCATACAGAGGGGTTACAATTATATGGGCAAGGTAATGAGTACATTTTCTTTTTTTGGGGGGGTCCGGTCGTGGGGCCTGAACTCTGGGCCTGGGTGCTGTCCCTCAGCTCTTCAGCTCAGGGCTAGTGCTGTACCGCTTAAGCCACAACACCACTTCCGGCTTTTTTCTTTTTTGCTTATGTGGTGCTGAGGAATCGAACCCAGGGCCTCATGCATGCAAGGCAAGCGCTCTACCACTGAGCCACCTTCCCAGCCCCATTTTTTTTTTATTATTATTAAGTAGCTGTACAAAGGAAGAGTTGTAATCCCATTAGTCAGGTTATGAGTACAATTTTTCTTGGTCAATGTCACTCCTTCCTTTAGGTTCTCCTTCATTTCCCCCCTCCTAGCCCTACCCTTAAGTTCCATAGTTCATTTTTGCATAATGGAAAT